GGTCTAGATGATACCTGGAGGTCCTCTCTGACCACAACTGCTCTGTAATTTTTTTTTCCATCTAATTGCCACCTGTGTATAGCAGAGTGTGCTGGATTTACTGTGCCACCTTGTTAGCGTCTAATCCTTTTTTATGCTGTCTTTTTTTTTTCAATTCCCAACAATCCCTACTACCTTTGACATTTGAACTAATTTCACTATTTTTGACCTCTCTGCCATGATCTGTGGACTTCCAGGTCACTAATCAATATAGGATCAACTATTAATTCGTGTTGTAAAGGACCTGAGGAGGTTCCTGTCGCAATCTCCTGCTCAGAGCACGTCAGCTCTGGGATTAGAGCAGGTTGCTCAGTGCTGTATCGTCTGGTCTTGAAATCCTCCAAGGGTGAATATGACACAACCTCTCCAAGCAACCTGTTTCACAGAGTTTTTCTTATGTCCAGTCTAAAGCCTTTGTTGTTAAGAATTGCTTTCCGTATCTGGTACCATATTCTCAATGACCTCACTGTAGGACTGCTGCTAGGACCCTAGTATGCCTGGGCAATTTCCCATCCAAGTACTAAGTGTGCTCAACCCTGTTGTAGCTTTAATGGTCAGAGGAGCTCAGGCATATTGCATGGTGTGACCATAGGCAGATGTGATCCAGTACTGCTGCTGATGTATTTCTGGAGGAATTTCACTGTTAACTTACTGCAAATTGCCCCTGCATCCCTTCTCTGTTGAATACAGTTTAGCATACATGATTTCCAGTCTGATGCAACTTCTTACCTTATGATAACCGAGCCTCTCTAGCAACCTTTTGTAAAGGTTTTGTCAAAGGATTTCTGAAAGTCAACACTAATTACGCGTACCAGTGTTCCTCACTGCTAATTTGACACACTTCAGGAATTCTAATAGAGCCCATCAGAGACATGACTTCCCCGTGCAGAAGCCATGCTGCTTTGTCACGATGGTAATTTGCGTGGTTAAGCACCCTGTAGTTCTGCCACGACCGAGATTTACTTTTCACATAATTAACCCAGTTCTGATGCAGGACTTTCTGGTTTGCCTTGATAAGATTTTCTGTCCCCTAATGTTTCCCTTTAAAAACAGATTCCACATTGCCTGCCTTCCAGTCTTGTGAGGTGGGAGCTGGATTTTTTTGCGATAGGTAATGTATTTTTGGTAGCAGCTCAGGCGGTGTGTTTATGAGTTCCTGGAGAGTTTTGGGTGAGCGCCAGCCAGTAGAGATGATGTGCTGCAAACCAAAGTGATCTGAAAACCAAAGTGATGTCCCATGAGCAACTTTATTGTCTCCTGAGGTTTCACATGCCTCCTCCATGCTGCCAAAGGCTCGATGAGATCTGCCACCCGTTGCTGTGGAAGGACTGTGTAAGCAACAGTTTGCTTCACTGCGGTTGCTGCCCTTTACCAGCAACTGTTTTTTGGCAATTTTTCAATGGTGCTTTTCTTGCCTACAGTTGTTCATGCCAGTTTCTGGAAACTTTTGTTTCAAAGAGGCTTTTTCTGGCAGGATGGTGACCTATATGCAAACAAATGCACAGCATGTTCTTTTGAGCCAGAGAAAGGCTTGCTAAGACATTCTCTCTTCGGTTTGAAGAAATACCAAGTGTGTTGCAATGATTTCCATGAACAAGGTTCTGCAAACTCAGCATAATACTGAATTCAGCAAAAAATTACATGGTTTGAATTAACATTTATATAAAAGACTTCCAGCCCAGCTTGCCTCATGGTTCAGAGTTAATACCCAGTCCCTGTGTTTCTCTTCTGAGGAGAGAAGCTGAATTCTGCTAATTTTCTTGCTACAACATGCCAAAGCCCTGTAGTGACCTTTCTCTTTGCACCCTAAACCCTTTCCCTGTGAAAACGAGCAGCTACTTCCCCGTGCAGGATTTCACCATCTTGCTTCTGTCCTGCAGGATAAAGTCCTCTTGGAGAGGAAACAACGTGTGCCTGGGGGTCATTCATTTGATGGCAGATCATGGAAAAGGGAAGACCATAAATCACTTGTGTTGAAACATTAAAAGCTGATAAATAGGTGGTCCTGACTGTAGCCTAGCCCCAGCTTCCCTGTGCGCAATGCAGGGCTCAGGGTGCTTCCTGGAGCAGCCAGGGGCATGGCCAGGGGAAGTCTGTGTTGGGCTGAGATTTCAGCCACTGGCCAGGGCATCCACACGGACTTTGAGTGGCTGCAGGAAGGGATATGCTGTGGATCCGCTGTCAGGAAGTCACTGGAGTCACAATAGTGGCCTTCAGAAAGCATCGTGGTACAAGCAGCTGGGTGGAGGTCCTTACTGGGAGTGTATCTAGGGATCCGTTGGAGTGTGGATGGTGCACTTCACAGCCCCACCGTCTCAGTACGACTTTGATCAGGTTTCCTAGCATAGAAGGCAGGCTGGCTTGCCAGTGGGGAAATACAGCGTGGTGTTTTCAGTACTTCACAGGGCATGCAATGAGTTTTTAAAAAAATACACTTGATGAGAGTTGTAGTTAAAAAGTGGGAAATTACTAATTAGTAACCAAGTAATTCAGGGTTTGATTCACACAAATTGCACTATTACTGTAAAAAAGGATTGCTATTTCAGGCAAACAGTGGGTTTTGGTTGGTTTTTTTTACAGGCACTGAAAATGTAATTGATGTTCTGTTAATTACCTGCCAGGTTTCAGGTTTCTTGTACGTTTTTTCATCACTGAGACATTACAGGCATACACATGCCTGAGAAAAAGGAAAAAAAGAAATTAGCACTATTCCCCTTTGCATTGTTATTGGCAATTCTCAGGTTTTCCCACTAGATTGTTCTTGTAAACTCTTGCATTTCACAGCATTCAAGAGTGACCACTGAGAACGTTACTATAACACTGTTGTTAGCATCAGAGTTCAGTTACACAGAAAGCTGAGTGGGATGAGCTAAGTATCATTTTCTCTTTTACCTTACTGGAGTGGTAACAAAAGGATGGCTGCCAATTCTTCTTGTTAGTATCAATTTATGAGGAGGAAGAAAATTAATTTTATTCTGGTTAAGAAATGCAACTGTTAGCATAATAAAACCCAAGTGTCTCCCTCACCTACCTTCATGCATGTTAATAAGCAGCTAGGTATCTTCTCTCTGAAGTCAGTGACTTTGGGTTGGTAGGTTGCTTCTTTTTGTTCACGTAGGCATTTCAGCTGGCTACTCAGAAGTGTAGCATGAGTCAGCAGTAAATATTGAAAATACCAGTAAAAGTGAAGCCATAAGCATCTCATTGATACTTCCAGTAATGTAACGTTGGCAAAAATACCTGTTTTGTAGAAAGAGTCATCACAGCCACTGACTTAAAAATACTCCTATGAAAAGGGGAAGATGGAGTTCACTGAGAAGTCTAGTAAATACTTGCAAGTAACAAGTGGCTCCTCCTAAGTCCGTTCCTATCTAGATTATTACTTTCTTTCAAACAACACTGTATGGCACCCTGGTTTTAATTCATGGCAAGAGAAATAGCTTGAAGTCTTCTTGTTTCTACTTGTCTACCTGTATATCATACTAGCAAAGGAAGATGCTGCAAAGATTCACGTTAAAAAGAAGCAGAGGAGGAATTTTGCTTTTACTCACTGTAGTGGTCAGATATTTATAGTGCAGCAGTATTATACCAAAATACCACCCTCTGTTGCCCTTAGCCCTGTGTGCCTCTGAATGGTACCTTTCAGAAGGCGGTTGTCATTCTCAATAAGGAAGAATCATTCCTTAAAATACTTAAAGTTTGTGCATTTGCACAACTCTTCTTTCAGAAGCAGGTAGAATAATACATATAAATAACTTTTTTTTCCCAGGTGAGCTCTAAAAACAAGTGTGTTCAGTTTGTCTGCGGGTACATAGTGCATTCGGATGCAGCACAGGCTCTTATGCTTTTCCACTTAGATGAGTTGAAATAGGAAAATAATGTAAAGAGTCTGGTGCTGGGCAGAAAGTTTTGGGTAGAAGAATTACTTTAATGTGTTCAAGGGCAAAGGGGATTCACGCAGGGCTGGGAAAGCTGATCCCCATCACTATCTCCATCGCAAATCCAATCCCCATCTTCAGAGGCATTGCAAGTTCTACATGTGTCAAAAATTGCAGAACAACAGGGAGAGAATAATAACAGGTGTCTTAAATCCTTCCAAACTGTTCTGCTGTAAGGAGGGGAGACTTATCAGCAGGCAGGAGCAACCCCAGACCCACATGCTGCCCTGCAGCCTCCACATGGGTCAAGGGTTTTTCTTGTGTCTGTGGGTCTAGAATTCAGAAACTGCTCTTTTATGTAAATGGCATTAAACCACTGGTGAGGGTATGTTGCTTTAGCCATACCTGGAAACAGATTTCTTCTGAAGCCACTAAACAGTTTTTGCTCACCCTTGAGTTTTAAAATCATAAATTCTGATTGAGAAATGAAGCCACTGTAGTTAGTGGTTTGTCTTCGTTGTCTTTGCAGGGTACAGTTCCACCTTGGCTTTCGCTTGAGCTGAGGTCTTCAGTGTAAGCATGCAGCGCTGCCTGTCCAGTGGAGATGAGACAGGAGTTTTGAGGGTTTTTTCCTTTAATATGAAAGTAAAAGAAGCAAGCACAAAGCCCTATTTTCATTATTAGAAGACCCAACAGTTACTTGTGCTTTTTTTGCTAAAATCTAAAATTTCCCATATCTGCATGTTATTTTGTTGCCCCCTACTCAGTTGAAACTCTTAGAAGTGTAGTAGGTGGTTGAGGGAAAGCACTCTGCAGTCCATCTAAACTCTGCTTTGGTTTTGAGGGGAAAGTTGAGGGGTGAATAGGTAATTGAAGCACAGCAGAGTGAAAGCTGGTGGCAGTGAACACTGTTCCTAATATCTTTCCTGAGCAACTTGCTTGGATTTAAGAATTATGGGCTACTTGGCCATGGTCCCGAGGTATCCAGAAATTAAGCAGCATCCCACCGTACCGTGTTTGCCCAGCAGCTATGTAGCTCCTCAATGCCTTGTTTGTGTTTTCTCCCCGCCTTCTCTGTTGCAGGGTGTGAACGGCATGTCTGTGGATGAGAAGACTGACTCCCCCATGTATGTGTATGAGTCAACGGTGCACTGTACCAATATTCTCCTCTGCTTAAATGACCAGCGGAAGCAGGACATTCTCTGTGACGTGACGCTGATCGTGGAGGGGAAGGAGTTCCGCGCCCACCGGGCTGTGCTGGCTGCCTGCAGCGAGTACTTCTTGCAGGCCTTGGTCGGGCAGACGGAAAATGACCTGGTGGTCAGCCTGCCGGAAGAGGTACAGTTTCTCACCTTGCCCACACTGTAAACACGAACCCCTTCCGACCTGAGCAATGAGGAAGACCTCTATGGCCAAGGGGTGTGTGGTGCAGGTTTCGATGCCTGCCCCAGCACTGCTCTGAATGCGGTTTTTGCGTTCAGATGGGTTGCAAATTGCTGAAGGCTGAACTTGTTCAGTCCAGCCTTTCTCACAGCTCCTAGAAGTTACGGTGGCAAAGCTTTAAGATGCTTCAGCTCACCTTTGTCACTGCCACCAAGGGAGCCGTACCCAAACACTCAATTGCCATAGCTTTGGTCAGGACATAATCAGGACCTTGATAGACTTCTGCTCTTCCAGACATGAAATTTGAAAGGGGTGATATAGCTGCTAGACAGCAGGTTATTGTTGAAAAATCGTTTGAGCTGTCACATTGCTGGGAATCACACTGCTGTCCCGTCCCGCTCCCCCACACTTTCCGGCAGCTCATATCCTTGTCCTCCTCTTTCCCCTCTTCTGCACCTCACTGAGCCTTGCTTCCTCTCACCTCCCCTCACAACAAGTTTAGGTTAACTGCTTTGGGCCATGTGTTTTCCACTGAGAAACCATGAGCCGTCTGTCAAAAGGCAGGGTTTTTCTCATGCAGCATGGTTCCCACAGCAGGAAGCCAAGGGATGTAGAAAATACATACCTCACTGGAAAGTTTACTTTATTTTACCACAAAATCTCGCTGGCTGGCTTCCACCCCCACTGTAATTTCCTCACAGCCATACAGCCGTGACAGCACAGCTACTGAAGGGCATGCCAGTGGCTTTGCTGTCCACAGAAAAGGCTACGTGTGCCTGCTGGCCAGACTGCCATCACCAGCCACCTCAGCACTGCCTACCCGATGCCTCTGTCTGGGATGGGCAGCACAGGCATGGTGGCAGTGTACCCAGAGCATGGGGCAGCAGTCACTCAGTTGGAAGGTGCTCTGGCATACAGAGGGGTTTTCAGCATCCTTTGCTTACTGCCCATGAAGAAGCATGGTGTGTTTTAAATGATGTCAGGTCCCAAAGTGTCACAAACCATTTCCCCCCCCTCTAGTTTAGCCCTCCAGAAACTTCAGTGGATTCATGATGTTGTCACAGCACAAGTTGGAGAGCATTCAAAGTAGGTCCCTGGGGTGATTTCATCATGTCTTGACACTGAATATTACTCATGAAGAAATTTCAACCCAGACATTTTGCATAGGAGTTTAAAGACATCACAGAGGACATGCTAGGATGCACACTATGATTCTGCAGCATCCACTGATAATTTCCAGTGGAAGAATCGACTCTGTCAGCGTAGCATAGCTTTTGCAGTGCAAAGCTAAGGCAGGAGCAGAGAAGTGACAAAACACACCCAGGGGTGCACAGGTATGAAGAGATAGGAGAGTATCAGCACTCTTCTATAAAGCCTTGGTGAGACCTCCATGTATGATTCAGGTCCTGTTAGAGAGATTTAATTGAAATTCACATAAGCATATACAAGAATGACTGAAGTGTTCATAAAAAGGAGCCTGACCTGGTTCAGCAGAAGGAGGAGAAGACAACCATAGCAGGTTTGTATGACTGGCGTGACAACTGAGACATGCTACAGCTCTTGTGTAGGCAGAGGAGATGAAATGGCTGAGAGGAGGAATTTCTCTTTAATACTAACGACAGTGTTGCCCCAAGCATCGATTGGTTTCAACTAGCTTTTAGTAAAAGTAGATTGGAAATCAGCAGATTTCTAAGCACAATAGTGGTGGGGTGCTGAGCCACAGGCAAGTGAAAGGAGCAGGGATCCTGCTGTGTCTGCGCTTGGTGACCCAGTCCTATGTTCATATGACACTAAAGATTTAAAACACAAAGCTTTGTCTTTCTGTTTCATGAGATACTGCAAAAAAATATTCCTCCAGTCCAACCAGAAATTATTTCTATTTAAGTGAATCCCCTTTGGATAAATGAAGTATTAAAGTTTCAAATTCTAAAATATATCGCATGAAAGATCAAAACATTTTAGTACCTAAATGTTACACTGGTGATTGCTACAGGTCTAGTGAAGTCTATGGATTTACAGCAGCAGTGAATCTAGTTCTGAAGGTTTTTCACAACACCTGAGACCACCACTGTTAACTTTACCACGTGCTTCTGTTAGTTGCAGAATGCCAGGGCTTTAACCTTCTCATCCTGGAAAATAATTCCCTTAGCCTTTTTAAAAAAGGTACTACAGTTACCAGTGCTTACTAGTACAGATATTTTCCATGTGCAAATTAACTGCATTGATTCTAACAAGTCAAACAAATTAGCTACCAAGCAAATTAGATTCAATGCAGATGTGGTGAGTTAAATAATTTCCTCACAAATGCTAGTCAGGAGAGAGGTAAAGATTGCTGCCTGATGCATTTTGTTGTTCCTCAGTTATTCCTTGGTTTTTAAGATGCACATCTCTGCTTCTGGCATGCCTCTGCTTCAGAGTGCCAGGAACTTCGGTAGTTGCCTGTGCATAGATAATGGGAAGTGCCTCCAACAAAGAACAGTGTGGGAGCTCCCGACAAAAGGAACTGAAACACTCCTGGATTTAAAGATCTGATAGCAGGGGAAACACCATCTTAGTTGTAGTGCATTAAAAGAAGTTAGCAGGGTCTTCTACAGTTCACAAGATAATGGCTCTTCCCAAGGCTTTTGTTGGTTTTAGTCTGTGGTCTGCAGAACTCTGACAGCCCATGAGTTATTGCTAAAGGTATCTGTGAAAACTGACTTCATCTGTCATGCAGGGAGTTACTCCTCCAGTGGAGAAATTTCAAACTGAAGTTGAAAGTTGATGTCTTGAGCCAATACTTTTTTTCAGGTTTAGAGACTATTTATGTTGGCATATACTTGTAGAAAAACAGAGACTGAAAATAATTTGTAAATACAGCCTTCACAGATCAGAACTTTTCTGAAGGTGATGATCACTCATAAATTAACAAAGCTGTTTTTAAGTCAACAATGCAAGCGTTGCATTTTAAATTCTGGCATGGTTTGAAAACTGCTAAAGTGTGCCGTTGTGGAGAAAGGGCATTATTATTATAATTTCTCAAAGGTTTGATGTCAGAGGTGGATAAAGCTTTGTTTATAATGCTTTTACACTCATGTAATGTTGGTGTGAGGGAGCTTAACATCAAAACAAAGAACTTCTTTTTGATTATTCAAAGCAGTAAATCTGCCTCTGAAGTCTAAATTGCAGACTTTTCTTTTACTTCATAGCATGTTGGGGCCTTTTTGTTAATCTGGCATCCAGACATTGTTAACTATTGTCTAGATAAACAGTGAACAGATGTTTTTTACATTATTTCTTGTTTATATCCAATTACAAGCGAGAGCAGTCTTTATGATATGCCAGTCATTTCAGTGGGGAGACATTGTGCATGCTCAGAATTGGGACTGGGAGAACTTACAGGGTTTTAAACCGCTGCAAAACTTTGTGTTACACATTTCAAATCAGTTCAGGCATGACTTAATGGGCCTCCATTCAAACCTTTCCCTAATCAACTTAAGCTAAGTCAGTACAGAGCTAATTCTGCACTGATTGAAGAGTTTCCATAAACCATTTTGTTGTAGCCTTGGTAATTTGATTTTGTACTACACCTTTTGTTAAAGCACTGGATTTTAGTGTGTAGATAAGCACTTGGAAAAACAGCCACATAATAACACGGGCTCAGACGTGGCCATGGTGTGTGATCAGCCCTCAGAGCACAGTTAGAGGAACAGAGTGTATCAGCTGCCTACAGCTAATTAAAAAGGACCCCGTTAGCTCTTAACTTCTATGCTTTTCTCTTTATTGGCAGGTTTTGGTAAACAAGTAGAACCTCACCTGCTTTTCACCCAGTGTATTTTTCAGCAGTTGTGCAGTTTGTTTCTCTGTCAGGTGCTGTGAAATGCAACCCAAAATTAGTATTTTCTTAAAACCGAGTTTAAAGCTGTAAAGTTAGTAATTCACTTCATACCCCTAACTGTTGTTTTGTTTTATTTAATCATGAAAACTGGTCTTCCTTCCTTTAACAAGGCACTTAATTAAGGTTTTAATTCACGATAAGAAGTTAAATGGCACTTACAAGCCTTTTTTAATGGTTTCCACTTCCCATCCAGCTTACAAAAAAAGGTGTGATAGAGAGAGAGACACGGCTGTCAGCCAGGGGTATTGTAGGTCATGCCAATATTAGCTGGCAGCGGGCCATTATCCAATTAACATTGCTTCATTGCTGCAAGTAATAGCTCTCGAGTAGATGATTTAGTCATTCATGCTGTAGTGGTACTCTACTTTACTTGAGAAGGAGCCAAGCTACTTTACTTGAGCTTCATCAAATAGGCTTTTTATTCACTATTATTACCTGCCTGGCTTTGCTAAAAGAAGTGCACAGTGAGCCTATACGGCAAGCTGAAAGCTGGGCGCTGGACAGAGGAACATTCTGTGCAAACACCTTATTCACTTGGTTTTCTGAAAGCTGAGGTTGCAGTTAATTGGGGAAAAAATGGAAACAGCAACAACAAATAAACCCCCTCAGTTGCATTAGATTCCTACAGCTTAGAAATGAGATGCCTGACCTTGCTCATGGGTTTTTTTTACTTTGGGGTATACATTTGAAAATACTTTCACCTGGTCATTCCAGCTGTGAGATCACCAAATGCTTTTCTGTCTGGTGGAATTAAACACAGGTCTTCTGAAGTAGACTGCGCTTTCTCTAGCACTGGTTTGATACTGAGCTTTCTCTAGCACTGACCTAATACTGCCCTTTCTATTACAGACTAAAGGTATAAAAGTACCTTAGTACTCCAGTAGGCTGGTTAGTTTTACCTGTAACCTTGAATTTCTTGCATCTGTTTCAAAGAATGGTTACTGGTGACTTTTTTTAGTGCACTCAACTATCTGCTGGAAATGTTGCCTTCCAGAAGGATGAAACAGAGTTGTCTTTGGCTTACAAATCTTCCACAGGGCAAAGGGAAGCAGCATCTCTTTTAGGAAGAGGCGGTGAG